AAACATATCATTCTTTAATATTTTAATATGCTAGCTAAAGGCAGAAATTATAGATTTAAAAAAATATATAAAAAGGATACACAGTTAGACACATTTTTAGACAAATCTAAAAAGAAGGTCCATTCAAAATCCACGCACGTGGAAGCCCTAATCTATGTAATATGTCAAGTAAAAAATGTCTACATACCACCATATCAGAAAGAAAAAGAAGCAATACAACTGGAGTTTAATGTAGCATGCACTCTGGGAAATGAAGGAGAGTTCAGAGCAATACAGCCACAAATCTGAGGTCCTCTGGTCACAAGACACTCACTAGCCCAGACTGAGCAGACAGTGGGGGCTGGACCCCGAAGGAGCCATTCAGAGAGCCCCGACTGTCAGCAGAAAAAATTCAATGACAGGCAGCAGCCAGTCCACTGGAGAATGACTCCTTATTTGTTTACTTAGCAAAACATTAAAGACACAGCAAAGGGAGTTATATCAGAGCTGCCAAGTTATGTCAGCTTTTTTGTTATCTACTGGACATATGCAGGACCTGGGAATAATGTTACAAGAATCCTGAACACAAAACATGTACTGTACTGTATGTGCAACGACTTTAAAGTAAGGATGGATCTGGTGAGTCTTGGATTGGAATTTTGACCAAAGGATTTATATGAGACCTCTGTTTCGATAGGGCCTCTAATTTAATCTCTGTAAGGTTTGTACATTTGTTTGTGATGGATAATACCTTTACCTCAATTCCATGTTAGCATGGGTGCATAAAGAGGAGTGCAAAACAAAAACTTATGAATTAACAATGTTAAGGTAGCTAAAGCTCAGTCTAATGTGAGATACTATTTGGTGTTTTACAGATATTATCTTTTAGTTCTGTGCACCCAACAACACCAAGTTCTACAGAGATGCTATAAATCAATCATTAAACCTCCCATACAATATTGCTAAGCATGAACTCAAAAGTCAGAGTACATACTGTAGCTGTTAAGGTCCAGATTTTATGTCTGTGCACGCGGTTGTTCTTATGGAGTGGATATGTAGAAATCTCTGGAATTGAAAAGCTTTGCACAGTATGTACAATCTGACGTGATTTTATTTAGAAAGGGCAATGTTAGTTGCTTATATCAGGTTTTGACATGGAAGGGTAAAAAGAATAGATTTTGCATCTTGGCAAATTGTCATTCTTATTAACCTATACACTCTAGCTTTCAGGATGCTAGTGAAAGCAATTTGTTTTCATACCTTGTAAATTGCTTCATCTTATGGTCTGCCAAGATATTTTCTTTTCATTTTGTGGAGTGACAGACAACTCATCTACTGGTATTTGATTATCCAAGTACACGTGCGAGCTTTAATGATTGTGATTGAAAAGCAATGCACAGGAGTCAATGGGCATTTTATTTAAGGCTTTGTTGATAATATCTAATGCAATTTAAAAAGAAAAGTGTTTGTAGACTGGCATTCTCAAGAAATTTCAATAGTGAGAAAAAACAATGACAAAATTCCTTTATATTCATCACAACATTTTGTTCCCAGTCTACGACTTTGTCAGAAGGAGGGCTGTTAATAGTAGAAGATTTTGCAAATCTCAGTATTTTAGGGGACAATATAGCAAAAGTAGAGTGCATGCCAAGAACACTATCTTGCAGTTTGATGCATGAGACATCATAAGACTTTTGAACACTTTAATTTGTTGGTTGTCTTTTATGCTTTTGGACTTGCAAGGTCAGGGGATCACTTATGAGCTGATTGATGGTTTATTCCTCAAAGACCAATGAGCTTTCACTAGCAGAGAATGAGAAGTCCATAAGTAATTAGTGCTGTGTTTCACTCAGTTTAGACCATCTACTCATTTACTCATAACAGCATTTCTTCTGTAACTTTGTACAGAAGAAATATAGCCTAGATAATTCAAAGACCTTTGTTTTACATCTTTTCACTCTTTCTTTCCTAATAAAAAATGAAATAAAAAGAATCGATATACTGAAGTGAACAAAGGCAGGCCAGTGTGTTTGAATCTGCAGTTTTCACCTCTGGCTTTGCTCCAGAGAGTTGTTGATTTCACTGCGCTCACATAGTTGAACAACTTGGTTGATAGTTGAAATAGTAGAAAACTAAGGTTGCTGCTGGAAGAGGTGTTAGTGGGGCCAGCAGGGGGCGCTCACCCTGCAGTCCATGTGGGTCCTAATTCCCCAGTATAGTGACGGGGACACTATACCGTAAACAGGCGCCGTCCTTCGGATGAGACATAAAAGCGAGGTCCTGACTCTCTGTGGTCAAGAGTAGGGGTGTAACCCCGGCGTCCTGGCCAAATTTCCCATTGGCCCTTACCAATCATGGCCTCCTAATAATCCCCTTCTATGAATTGGCTACATTACTCTGTTCTCCTCCCCACTAATAGCTGATGTGCGGTGAGCGTTCTGGCGCACTATGGCTGCCGTCGCATCATCCAGGTGGTGCTGCACATTGGTGGTTGTGGAGGGGAGTCCCCATTACCTGTAAAGCGCTTTGAGTGGAGTGTCCAGAAAAGCGCTATATAAGTATAAGCAATTATTATTATTATTATTACTTGATGACAGGTAGCTGTTGTTTTCTCTACTGCGATCGATGATTTACATGATTAAAACAAAGTTCCACTTCACCATCCAATCCAGGCGTTGATTATAATGTTCAACCAGAAGATAAGAAAGATTACAAACGAGAGGAGAGAATTCAGCACATCTAGTACGTTTGCCAGTAGCTAATTTTCCCGAAGATCTCCTCCAGACACTTCTGTAGTGTATCAGCTTCAACATGGCCGGGCAGCTTGTTCCAGACTCCCAGAATACTTTGGGTGAAGACGTTCCTCCTGTTGTCCTTCCAAGATTTTGCTACTTGTGTTCCATAATTTGTGTTTCAATGCTGATTTTGAAATCCGAGGATGTCATCGCATAGTCTTCTCTGCTCCCAAATAAAAACCTTTTATTTTCTTCAGCCTGTCAGTTTAGGAATTTCCCATAAGTCCCAGTATGCTTTTCTCTGGACCGATTCCACAGCAGTAAAATGTTCTACACTTCCCAGCTATATATCCTAATATTTGTTTTTGCTTCTTCACAATGTCTTGAAATATTAATGATGTGTCAACATAAACACCTGAGTATTTTTAAGATGTAGTTTCTGTTCTTTAACTTAGTGCCTTTACTTCAAGTTCTTTCCTGAAGTTTAACAAGTCCTTAGATTGGTGAAAAGCATTATACATGTTCAAAAGAAGCATCAACTCTTTTTTTAAGGAAAAGGAAAAAAGACAAAAACAAAAGTGAATGTGTTTGAGAGTTTCTGTAGTGTTCAGTCTAAAAAGGCAAATTTAACTTATACAGTAGTTTCTGTACGAGCCCGGGAAAATCCACTCCATGCCTCACAAAATTTCTGAAAAACAGAGTCAACTAACCTGTTAAAAACTGTAAGTGAAAAGAGATCCATGCTTAAATCGAAATGCAGAGATCTTTGAACTGGAAGTGTGACTGTTACTTGCACATGGATGCAGAGGAAAAGGTGGGTCACTTAGTTCACTGTTCTGTTGCAGAACATGTAAAAAAGTATTGTTCTGCATACTGTATGTAGCTAACACAATGGTCTGACACAAGATTAAATTGTATTTCTACATCATACAGGTAAAGTATGGTAAAGTGCATTTTACAAGTACTCTATAATCCTTCTGCCCTGCAACTTTGGCAGTGACAAAAATACAGTAGCCACCAGATTTATTTATAGCCCTGACCAAAAGTTGCTTTAGCAAAGAAATGCAGATTTATATGAAGCTTTTTAAACAGTTATGAATGATAATGTAATAAGAAGGTACCAAAAATGAGTAGACTACATTAATAACAGAACACAAGTGCATATGTTTCTAAAAACACAATATCCAAACTCACTTATACAGTATTTTCAAACTAAACGCTGTACATTTAACACTTTATTTTTTAATCATCTGGTTTCACAGAGTCCCCGAAGCTGTAGTGAAACTTGTAGAAGTCACCTTGATTGCTACAGGGTATTGAAAGAAGTTGAAGAGGGAAGCAAACTACTCAGTATAACATCATGGGGAAAGTCAGACAATTGTCTGAAGATCTAAGGTAAAAGATTATCGACCCCCACAGCTTGAGTGACGGCTTTAAAAAAATCCATAAATCATCCCAATTTCAACTCTTTCAATGTCCATCATCAGGACATTCAAGGTTAAGGGGATGGTTGCCACTTCCTTCAAAGTTTTACCAACTGTGTGTTCAAGAAATTAGTTTTGGAGGGCCAATTCACATCCAATGGTAATAACTCAGGAACTTCCAAATTTAAGCAACATCAGGATGCAATATCTCCAAAATAACGTTGACGTTATGGAAACAAAGATAAAAATATTCCATTGAGCAACTAATTGACTCCCAAGTCAAACAATATGGTAGAATTAGCACAGAATGGTAACCCTTGTGTCTGCAAAGCCAAGAGAAATATCTGTTCTTTTTTACTGTTTTGCAACCAGTGGTCCTGAAGCCTTTGTCTCAACCGAGGGAGAAGCGGATTTCACAGTTTACTGGGATACTTTAGACAAAATACTGTATCTGTGAAGAATATCCTTGCTTTCCGTCATGAAGGTCAAGCCAGCTCACAAATGGAATTTACAATGAACTGATCTCTTGAAATGTTTCTTCTCTCCTCCATTTTTAAAAACATCATCATCTGAAATTCCAGACTGATCCCTAACTGGGTACTGTGTGATGGAACTGAGTAATTCCTTAAAGTGAGGAGTAAAGCCGTGCAAAATTACTCTATGACAGTATGGTTAACAACTATACTTCTCCAAATATTAACGGGGGATCTTTAATGATCCCACCCTATTCAAGATTTGGTTTAACACCTCATCTAAAGAACTGGCTCCTCCTACAACACAGTGTGCCACAGTGTTATCATACTGGGGCATTAGTTTGGAACCAGATCTTCCTATTCAGGATGCCACCTACTGCACCACTTACCCCAGTAGTGTGGTTCTTAGAGGTCTCCAATCCATTTACTAACCAATCTTAGTCTTGCTTATCTTCGGGGATCTGAAGAGATCATTCTACAAATAATCAATCACATAATGTAATGAATTCAAACATTCATTGGAAAAAGAAGAACACACGTTCGACTGCTATACAGTAGGTCTGCCACTTCAAAGAACAAAGTAACTAAGCACTGAATAGGAGCAAGTGTATCTAAAGTCAAATCCACAAAGCCACAATGAAATAGATCGCAATTACAACGTGGGACTGCACTCCCAAAATGATTTTGTTCATTCAATTTGCATCTCTTTTGTATTCGAGGTTTAAGTGGTAATTCTTGTCTCCGGGATTGTCCAGCTGCCTTTTTATGCTGAATGGAATCAAAATTGCATCTCTTAAGTGAACAGATGAAAGTAAAGAGACCCTATCAAACTGAGCCAAAAGGGGACGGATTTAAACCAGATAAATATGGATAGAATCAGTGAAATGCACTTGTCTTTAGGGCTTCATCTGCACCATACACTAAAGAACAAATTCGACTTCACTGTTAGAAAAGGCTTGTCGCGTTAAAACAGCATTTTAATCTGGTGATCATTTTGGTCAATGACCATTTTATCTTCTCCCCTTTCAGATCCAAAGCTGAGATTCAGATTTTGCATACTAATATTTTGCAGATGAACAAAACTACCTATTTCCATCACTTTCAGGGAGTATGTGTTAAATAAGTCCCAGGTCTGAACAATTTTAACTTTATTATTCGGAACTCTGTCATTAGCACATAAAAGACAAGATACCAAATTGTAATTAATTTTACCAGTAGATAAATCCAAAATCAAACAGGCAGCCCTACAGCTACAGACCCCGATCATCCTCTACCTGCTGGCTTTCAGATTAGCAACGTGGAGAAGATTTCTTTGTGTGGAGAAGCTAAATTCTCATTTCACATTGTCAAATAGTAAGTCAGCATCACTTACTATAATTGCTATTAGGATGTTAAAGAAAAAAACAGATACTCATTTTGTCTGCATTTTCATTCAGATGCAGAAGGTAATTTTTACCACATAAGAATTTCAAGGATTAAATATCCATTATATTGTGCACACTGAGATGATAAAGTTACCAAACAAAACCTTAGTCATTTATATTGCATGCGTGTATAATATAGTGTATTTACACACAAAAGGTAATGGCTCACTGATACCACCCAGTGGCCAGAAGTAAAAAAAAGGATCTGTAGTTGTTTTTTCTACACAATTTACTTACCAGCACATAACAATCATAAAATTAGTCACACTGCACAAAAGGCAATATCCACGACTCCAGCAGAGGAAGACCCAGTTAGCCAAAATGTCTTTTAAAGGCTTTTTTTTCCAAAGCAATGCATGAAATTTCTGCTTTAAAATGTCTGTTCTGAAAGACTCCTTTTACAGCCCGTGAAGCAAATACAAGGAAGAAACAGAAGCAGATGGACAAAGGGAACAGAATAAAATTAAATATGCAATCTGTAGATGTTAAATTTTCTGTTAAAGCTTACCAGAGTGTTATTAACGGAAAAGACATATATTGCAATTATTAAGTACAAGCCCTTTTTCCTGTCTACTTTATGCGTTACAGTATTCACAGATCCCATAGGCACTGTATCTACCACTTCTAATTTATTTTAGGGCAGAACACAACATACCCCACATGCTACATCGATCCGTCTTCACGGCGGATGCTTCTGATAAGGGCTTCTGTGGACATCTAATGCAAGTGGGATCTACACCCTGAAGGGACATCAGTCCATCACAGGGCACACCGACAGTATAGAGACACCAATTAACCTGGCCAGCATGTCGTGCCTCTGGAAAAAAAACACTGCAGAAACAGAGGAAAACATCAGAGCTATGTAAGGAATCAAACCCAGGACCTAGGAGATGTGAACCAAGCTGGCACTCATCTACCAGATAGCTACCATTTTTGCTTATTTTTGAGAAACAAATATATATTCAATTCAATTCAACTTTATTGTCATTAAACTTACACAGGTGCATAGTATGATGAAAGCTGTTTCTCATTAGTCACTCAGGTGCAGTATATAAATAGGACAGAAGATGAGACAATAGACAGTTACACAATAAGACAGTTACACAATAGCATATAGTATGAATCAGGTTCTCACCTCATACCCTCTATATTCCACACGCTAACTTAGTTAGTCAGTGTAATGTCATTATTTATGGCAAGCACATTTAGCATTATTTGCAAAACAGACTCCCCTTTGAGAGTTACTCCACTGAATGAAATGCCATGTGTTTTTTGGGAGGAAGTCTGGATGAAGTTTTCTCGCAGGTTTTGAAGCTAACTCACTTTGTTGAAGTGTGGGCATCAAAAAGCAAACCCTGTAGAAAAGCCATTTGAGCTTCTCTTTACCCTGTTAGAATAAAACTGAGACTCGCCCCCTGAAATCACAAGCTTCCAAAGGGAGACTGACAACAACACGATCCTTCGAGAAAAAAGCTTTCCAGACAGCAGATGCCATTATTCAAAGATAAGTCACAGGCAACAGCTATCATTACATCCTTTTACCAGTCCTGTTCAATAGCTCTCATGGAAGAAAAATTCAAAACGCAAAGCTTTCTCCACAGTCTGCTTCAGTAACAGATCTGCAGTGAAAGTTTGGGCACATAGAGAAAAATGTAATGAACACTAAAACTGACTTGCATTTAAGACAAATTCAGTCATTGCTCCTGGTTAGGTTAAGGTCTTAAAAGTGTCCCTGTACTTTTCCAACACAAGGCGATATTACAGGCAGCCTTACAGAATGTCAGTTGAGGATTTCTTTGAGATCGCACTTCTTCATAACTTGTTGACCTGGAAAAAAAACTCCAGGGAGTTTCCATCCTAGTGAAGAACTATATAATCAGGCTGATTAAAGGAGCTCAGCCAGTCCGCCTCAGTCCACCTGTCTGTGCTGAATCATCTTTCACTTTCATGATCCACATGCAAGTTAACATGAGGCTATTCTGTCTGCTACAGAGGAGACTCTGATAGGATCTCATTATTACTATTTTTCTTCGAAGGCAGCCTTATTAACAGCACATCACTTCTATTAAGATAAGTACCATCTAGTGTAACCCAAGCAAAAATAAACTTTCGTCTGTGAACAGCACAGTCTAAGTTAAAACGTCAAAATAAAGAGAATTCTTTTGAAGCTTTTCAAAGGATTTAAAAAAGTGCAAGACTGCATGACAGACGTTACCTACTAATTAGAAATACTGTATAATTTGCATTTTAGAGGACAATGAAACTGTGTATTATTTGCCTAGACTGAGTAAGTCTTGAATAATAAACAACCCCAACACATTTAGTGCACTAATGACAAATCCATCCTGCTGAACAGGTCAAGAGGACCTGAAGTACTCAAAATCACTGACAATTCAACCCAGCGGACTTTCTTCAAGACAAACAGTGAAACGTAAACCAAAGTTTATGCTGTCCATTCTCTATGTCTACTCGAAGAATGTTTTGCCACCTGGGTGTCAGTCATCTAAATGTGCCTCTTTGCTTCGCAATTGGTAATTTACACGAAATGAATGTGTAGAATCTGCTAAACTACATTGAAATGCCTGCAAGATCCTACTTTTCCCCACATATTTAGCATGAAACATAAATTTAAGCAGCTACAGTTTATGTTTAAAATCTCATTTTTGCTGTAAAAATAAGCAAGAAAGTGTTCTGCATAATGTGGTGAAATACTGCAGGTTTTCCTCTTACAAATTATTTTTGTGTTCTGTGTTCAAAACTTTTAAATTCAATGTTCGAATTTAGTGAAAAAAACAGGCTTTGGTGTCTCAGTCTCATTGATTCCCCTTTCCGTGCCAGTGATCCTATCTGAAGTGTGTGTACACAGGCAGCATAAATGATAATATTTCAGCCCTAGTGAACTGAAAGTGTGGGGCTACACCACTTCAGTCCATTGCACTTCACAAGCCCCGAAAGGCTGCCAGCTGGTGATCTGATACAGTGTGGATCAATACAACTCAGATCCAAAAGTTCAAAGTCCACCCCCTCCCTTCTCCACACACTGTCAGTGGATGAGGCATCCAGTTCTCACATGAAATGAGAATCACCCTCCCACAAGCAACCAAATAGAAGTGTTATTTTCAATTTCCAGCTTACGTGCTATGCATGTGGTCGCAGTGACAACTGAACGTACTCTGGAGTAACTATAACCGCAAAGCAAGCATGTTTACAGCTACAAAGGAAAAGGTAAAGGTTCGTTCTATGCACGAAAGGTAAAGAAACACTTTGGCTGTTGAGCCTTCCTCGGGTGTGAGAGAGAGAGGGAAAGATGTAAATAAATAAGGCGTAGGAGAAGAAAGGACAGATAGCGTGAGATTGGTGAGACAGTGTGGGGAGCAGTGGGGGATTGGCCATAGAAAACAAGAGAAAGAGTGTCCAAAACTGTGGGAACTGAAGGATGGGAGAGGCTGAAATCGGCAAACGAATGGAGATTTTAGAAGGAGATAAGTCTGTCACCGAGAGTAGCTCAAGAGTAATTTTGGTTTCTGACGTGCTTTTACAACAGGAGACCCAAAACCCCTGTGAGAGGAGGCAGCTGGAGAGATCAGAAAGATCATGGCTGCCAGTGGTGAAATGGGGATCTCTCGGTGAGGAGAGATCTTATATCCCCACTGCTCCGACATGCTCCCTGAAACGGTCTTCCAGTCTTCTTCCTCTCTCATAAACGGATGGGCACCTGTTTCTGTTTCTCCTTCTCTCCCATTTGTAATACAAAGTGCTGTCCTTTCAAAAGAGCACTGCAGGACAAGCACTCCTAATAATAATAATTGCTTACACTTATATAGCGCTTTTCTGGACACTCCACTCAAAGCTTTACAGGTAATGGGAACTCCCCTCCACCACCACCAATGCGCAGCATCCACCTGGATGATGCGACGGCAGCCATAGTGCGCCAGAACGCTCCCCACACATCAGCTATCAGTGGGGAGGAGAATAGAGTGATGAAGCCAATTCATATAGGGGGATTAATAGGAGGCCATGATTGGTAAGGGCCAATGGGAAATTTGGCCAGGACGCTGGGGTTCCACCCCTACTCTTTTCGAGAAACGCCCTGGGATTTTTAATGACCACAGAGATTCGGGACCTCGGTTTTACATCTCATCCGAAGGACAGCGCTTGTTTACAGTATAGTGTCCCTGTCACTATACTGGGGCATTAGGACCCACATGGACTGCAGGGTGAGCGTCCCCTGCTGGCCTCACTCACACCTCTTCCAGATGTCTTCCTGAAAGCATTTAAGGAAACTGGCATTTAATTGAAAACTGGATTTTAGAGCATTGAGCTCATACTGTATTTAAATAGACGTAACCCAAATATTTAAGGTGCCAGATATCAGTTACTATATCAGTTCTATCTGATCTATGATAATATCTCTGTTTCCACACATCTACTCACAGGGTGGTATTCCTGCAGTTGAGCATGCAATAGACCACTGTCCTACAAAACAAGGCTTTGTCACTGTGGAAAGACAGCCCAGCCTGAATGCTGTGGGAATTAATTTTTCCATCAGCAATGAGGCAACTTTTTTTACTTCCATTTCACTATTTATTTGAATTTCTGTGTTATTACATGACACCCATCTGTGGAACCTGTGCAAATGGATGTACAGTATATCCCACGTCACAAGAAGGGGTTAAGTCCGACATTCAGAATCTGTTGTTCCTCGTTTCTTACAGGTGACTGCTGTCCAGGGAGCTGTAATTGAGTTAAAGCGCATTATTCCACGCTCAGCTGAAGCACATGGGCTATGAAAGGAAGCGAGCTGTTAATTGGCTAGGGGTCAATTATGAAATAAAAACAGTTACCGTGCTTGTTAAAAGCAACACAAGGCTGAGATGTATAAGGGAGAAGAAACTGGGAGGGGCAACAAGTGGGCCTGAGTGAGATGAAGACAAATGACATCACTGCATTCAGGCAAGGGTGGCTTAGAAATTCTGCTTTATGTTCTGTTAAATGTTTCTTTATTAGCCCTATACAATTTCTTGCATTTACAATTCATCTTTTCGCATACCCCAGCTTGCTCTCCATGAGACACAGACACACAGACAGGGAGAGAAGCTTGGGGTCAGAGCACAGGGTCAGCTATTGTACAGCGCCCCTGGAGCAGTTGGGGTGAAGGGCCTTGCTCAGGGTCCCAACAGAGTAGGATTCCTCTGCCGGCTGCGGGATTTGAACTGGCAACCTTCCAGTCACAGGCACAGATCCTGAGCCACAGAGCCACCACTCCGCCCACTGTATGACTCGCATAATAAAATAATATTTAAATCTTAATTATGTTGGACATTAGGGTGTGTATGTATATATGCATATATATTTACACTATATTATATATATTCTGCATTAAATATATGTTAAATACATAAGTTCAGGAGGAGGTCGAACCCTAAACTAGTTACAAATGAAGTTATGTTTTGATTATTATATTATACACTATTACATAGATACATATGATCAATATTAGATGGCTTATATTACTATTAAGATACACATAATTATAAATTTCACTCTTCTTGCAGACTCGCTTGTGCTTTTCATTTTTACACCCCTCTCCTCTGGATCACCCTTTAATAAAGGAGGGACGTCCTCCCTTACAGACAGCTGAGTTACCCCAGTAGGGCTCAAATGTTCAAATACTCTCCTTCACCTTAATTGGGGTTTGACCAAACCACTGCGATAGCTCAGATAAGCGCATTATTCATTCATTATTCACAAAACTATGCATTGCTTGGTGTTTATTTACCATTTCTGCTCCATCACAAGGTCACCGCCTCGAATTGCAATGCGTGTACTGT